GCCATCAACACCTTCACCGACTCCCTCCCCGTGAATGGCGTACTTGGAGTCAAATCACCACCCATAGCAGACGAAGAGCTCGAGTTGCCGCGAGAAACGCGAGTGAMCCTTGCGCAACTTCGTTCTGGATATTGTAGCACGCTAAACTCCTACTTATCCAGAATAGACCCTGACATACCTAACGAATGTCCTGCATGCAATGAGTCTCCGCATGACACTGACCACCTCTTTGCATGCCCAACCAACCCCACCCATCTAACACCCCTTTCCCTTTGGTCCGACCCCGTCGAAACAGCACGTTTCCTGGGCCTCCCGTTAGATGACATCGACGACAACACTGATAACCCTGATAATCTGATAATCGTTACAACAACAACAACAGTACGAAACTACTACTGGAGTTTCTTAAAGCTGCGACTGCTGATATTTATATTCATAAATTTGTTAAAGTTTGTTTAGCAACCATATCATTTAATTTATTCTGATTAGCTTTCGATATTTTTTTTAAATATCTTCTTAGTTTCTTGAGCTGTGCATACCCAGAATTAAAAGGTTTAAATCTTCAGCGGTATACGTTATCTGTCCTGTGAACACATTGTCTTTAATTGACTTACTATCAAAAACGGAAACTTTGGCGGAGTGGTTTGCATCTACCTAGAAAAAGTTATGTTGAATTAATATGATATAATTTGCGTCGTAAACAATAAGTGATTCACTTTATAATTGTATAAGTATTACGCTTTTAAAACGATAAGTATCACATTCATAAAAAAAATCAACAATTCTATAGGCAAGTGTCTGCCATTTTTATTATTTTAATTGTAATGATACCACCAGATAAACTGCCATTGCGGAATTTAATATGGCAAATGCAAATATAATTCCTCAAAAAATAAATTTTGTATTGTATTATTTATATTTAGATTGATAGTAATTGAATTACTAAATTTTACATGTACATATATTGCTTATTTAGTTTACTATATTCAATTTTATTATGTATGTAGATAACTCCAATGATAATTGCACGAAACACACCAACTGCTGGGAGCATTGCGGCAGTTACATAATTTCTCTTAGTTCTCTTAGAAGAGATGATGAATATTTCAAATCTAGAAGCGGAATGAAAGGACCACAATCGAGAATAGTAAGTAAAAGTCCATTTATTTA